GCGTGACCCTATAGTGACACTTCAGAGACTCGCCTTATTAAATGATAACAATAATTCATTGTTAAACCTCCACAGTGACAGCCATGAAAGCAAGACTCAGAGCATCATGGGACAGTAATAATGCCATTACAAACAACAACAGATACCACTTTTTTGAATGGTTAAATGAACCCTGTGAGGTAGATAATTTTATCCACATTTACAGAGAAAACTGAGGCACATTCAGATAACTTGCTTACAGTCACACAGCAGATGGCGGAGCCGGGGCTTGTAGCTGTGTCTGCCTGACATCACACCAGGCTTATCTGCATAAAACTGAAGGAGCTATTCCCCATCCCCCTTCCTTTATTCTTCATAGTGGCCAGAATTGACCAGGGAACTTTTTCATATAATAATACTAAAAAGGAATTTAATTTATAAATCAGTCCAAGCAAAAAAGAAAAAAAATCAGAAATGTACCCAGTTGCTTAGCAGCTTATATTTCGAGACTTCAGAGCAGGGTTCACACATTCTAGGGGTGGGGGGATCTTTTCACCAGATGATGGTTCATCTGCTTACTTGTTGCAGATGACCTGGGCCCGTTCTCAGAGCTTCAGAACCGGAGTGCCCGACACTCGGGCCCTTTCTTCACCTTCTCTTCCTCCTTCCCTGGACACTCTGGTAAGTGCCGTCCCTTCTCATGCTTGCAAGCGTTTGGAGTCCTGGAGCCCCTCGCCTCAGCTTGTCACCTTCCCACGCCTTCTCTCTGTGTCTCTGGAACCCTGCCTCTGGGCAGCTCTGCGGGGAGACCCCACAGAGGTTCCTGGTCCATTGTGCGTGCAGCCTGCCTGGTACAGCCTCTGTCTAACATCCTCTTCTCCTCCTCCTCCTTTGTCCCAATGCCAGATTTCTCCTCCTCATCTTTCTCCTTCAGTCCTGGGGCTGGTGCTTTTCGCTCTGTCTCTACATCTACCACCTTTGTCCAAGGACGCCGCATCACGACGCGCAGGTGAGGGCTCCTTCTGGGACCATACGGGGTGTGGGGTGGGTGGGGGTGGAGCGGAGCCGCAGACGACTGGAGAGCAGCTCCCTGAGGGCAGAGTGCAGACTGCCCTGTCCACTGCGACGTCCCGGAGCCTGGACAGGCGCCCGCAGGACTCGGGCACGCCCACCGAATGAACCGTGCTGTCTCCCCCAGGATCATGGAGAACGGGCAGGAGCGGGTGGAAGTAGAGGAGGACGGGCAGCTGAAGTCTGTCACAATCAATGGTGAGGAGCGGCTCTGCCACCCAATCCCGATCAGGAAGCCCCAGGCCCCAAAGCCCCTTCCCCTAACTGCTCCTCTCTGAACTCCCCTGGGGCAGGGAAGCCAGACTGGCAGGGTCGGAGATGGTGATCCCGGGGAAGGGGGCTGGGACAGAGAATTGTGGAGCCTCAGAGGGCCAGCTAATCGCCGTCATCATGTGTGGGGTGCCTGGAGTTTGCAGAGCACTTGACTATTTTTAAAGCACTTGCGCACATACCACATCCCTTGTATTCTTAAAACACCCGGGGGAAAGCAGGGCAGTTTGCATTCGCCCTACTTTTCGTTTGAGGAGACTGAGCCTCAGCACAGCTAAATGGCCCTAACTCCCAAGTAGCCCCAGGCCCAAGGCTTTGACCTACTTAGCAAAAGGTAAAGCCAGGAATGAAACTCAGGACACAGGGCTCCTGGAGCTGAACTCTTCTTCCCACGACGCTGCCACGCAGTACAGGATGGTCACCATGACTACCCTTTTATGCCCGCCGACTCTGGGAGCTCTGTGTGCTAAAGGCTCTTCATGGGCTCTCTTATTTAATCATTGGAACAATTTGACGATGCAGGCACTCACGTCATTCCCATCTTATAGATGAGGAAAGGGAGGCTTAGGGAGGTTGAGTAACTTGCCAAAGGAGACAGCTCATACCTGCTGGAGCCGAATGCCTGGCCATGCTCATAACCACTACGCTAGGTGCCAAAATGCACACACCAGTTCCAGAGGAGGGGCTGTAAGTGGTCAGAGTGGCTGCTGCGTGAGGCCGGATTCCTGCAGCCTGGATCAGAGCCTGGCTCATGGTGGCTGTTACTCCCACAGGTATCCCGGATGACCTGGCACTGGGCTTGGAGCTGAGCCGTCGCGAGCAGCAACAGTCTGTCACCTCCAGATCAGGGGCCACACAGGTCCGGCAGACCCCTGTGTCGCGACCCCCTGACAGCGACCTCTCTGAGGATGACGAGGACCTGCAGCTTGCCATGGCCTACAGCCTGTCAGAGATGGAGGCAGCTGGGAAGAAACCAGCAGGTGGGCGGGGGGCACAGCGTCGACGGCAGGGGCAGCCCAAGGCCCAGAACCACGACCCAGGCATGGGGGAGACCCATGAGGGTGCAAGGGGTGACACAGCCAAACCCAGCCCATCTCCGGAGGAGAAGGCCTCTCGCTGCCTCATCCTCTGATCACTAGGCCCAACCCACCCGATTCAGGGGGCCAGGGGTCCTGTTCACTGTCAGGAGAGCACAGAGGGGCGTGGCCTGAGTTGCAGGAGCCCCTCTCCACCTCCATGCTCCCTCCCAGGTCCACCCCCCTCCACCCTCCAGCGTGGAGTCAGGATTTGCTGTGCTCAGCCCACGGCTGATAGGTCCCTGGCAAAGCCCAGGGTGGGGGGTGTCAGGGCAGTGGGAGGGCCTGAGGAGCCAGGATTCACTTATTCTTATTAGACAGGGAGTTTAAAGGGGCATTAGTGGCTTGGGTCAGGCCTTTCATGCCCAGGTCTTCTGCCACCTGTGTTGCCGATGATGTTAAGGAAGGAGGACTTGGCCTGAGGTTCTCTGAGCCAGAGTCGGCAGACACGGCTCTCCTTATCCGGCTGCAGACAACCCCACCCTGGTTTCTGCGCAGTGTTGAGCTCTGACGTCTCTGTTGCTTCCCTCCTGGTGCTGCTTCTCCCTCGCACTCTTCTCTCTGCAATTCCCCGTGGGCCGCAACGCTTGCTTTCACTGCCGTCTGGCTGGGACTCCCTTCTTGCTTCCCCCAGAAGGCCTCTTTGTGGCGAGGAAGATTCTGTGGCCAGTAGGGCCATAAGGTCTTCCGGGGAGGCTAGCTGGGTGGGGCGGGAGCCTCTCGGCCGTCCAGATTCGGAACCGGAGCCTACTCCTCCTCCCTTCCTCTTGCTGCCTCAGCCTGCCCCAGGCCTTGGGACTAGCCAGAGGTGAGGCCGGCTAATCCTGGAGAGGGGGGTTAAGGCCAGGTTGCCCCAGGAGGGAGGCTTAGGAGGGGACCATATCCCATCCTCCTGCACCATGCATCAGGGCTCAGGGAGAGGCCACAGGGCTAGCCCAGGGCTGCATGCTCAGCTCCGTCCTCCACGGCTTGCTGCTGACCCTCTCTCCTGTCACCCCGCCCCTGCTCTCTCCCCAGATGTGTTCTGAGCTGGATGTCCGGGACCCAGAATGGCAGCACAGTTCCAACAGGACAGCGCCCAAACCTGTGCACTGGGAGGGGACCCTCCATTCCTCTCCCTCGCCCATGCTGAGCATAGAGCCGGGCCTGGGTGGTGGGTGGGGGCTGGGTGGGAAGTAGTCTTAGCCTGTAAACGCTTCCCTGGGTGTTTGGTGCTGTCTCTTGGGGACTACAAGTCCCAGAATGCAACGCACAATGCCTCCTTTCTGTTAGATCATGCTTGGGAGAAGTGGTGCACAGTTACAGAGCTGTGCATCTTGGGACATGTAGTTCCAGCCCTGGTCGGCTTGTTAACTCACTGTGAGATGGGGCGATCGTGTCCTTTGATTTGTCCCTGGCAGGGGTGGCAAGAATGTGGATGATGGGGTAATGGTCTGAGCTTTGTTTCCCCTGACACCTCTTGCTAGCGCCAGGGTTAGAGTGTACCCATCAAGGCCCTGTGGCATCTCGGAGAGGCTCTTTTCCTGCGGGCAGTCCCGGGGTCTGAGAATGAGCCACGGCTGATCGGCTAAGCAGGGCGTGGTCTCAGAAGGCTGACAGGCGTGGGAGCTTGGAAGCTAGCCCTCTCAGTGGTGGTGGTGGTGGGGGGCGGGTGTGTGGCTGGAATTGGTGTGTGATGGGTGCTCTGGGCATGTTGCTGCTTGTATGGCTTCTTCGGCCTCTGACCCCGCTGCCCATTCTTTCTCTCCAACACCACAGAAGCTGCCTCTCCTCCTCCCTCCCTGGGGAGCCTGGTGGCTGGGGAGGGGAGTGGTGGAGCCGGGGTGTTGCCAGACCCTGGACCGTTGAGTCTCAGAGACCTATCAAAGCCAGCGGGGCTGAGCTCAGACCAAGAGGGAGCCACTGGAACTCAATAAAGCTGAGTTTCGAGAGTTTGGTGGTGTGCCGTGTTCCCTGTGCTTCCCTTCTCGGGGTGGGGAACCCTGGGGGACCAGTGGGTGACACACCTCCCTTTATTGCCCAGGCATCCAGAGGTTGCAAGCTTTCCCAGCTGACAGCAGAAGTCCCCTCTTTGACCAGGTGGCCCTCTCTAAGTACGTTGTAGAAGTCCATGAAATGCGCATTCTTCTGCCCTCACTTCTTGGGGCCCCACAGCTGGCTCTCCCCAGGTAGCTGCTGTTCCCCTTACGCAGGGTCCCACCACCCAATACTCTGCGGCACAGCTAGGACCAGACTGAGTAATGACTTGACTGAAAGCATGGGGCCAACAGAAAGCCGGGAACACGTGGTGAAAAACCTGTAAAAACCTCCCAAGGCCCAGAGACTGAGGCCCCTCCACAGGTCTCCTTAGCTTAAGGCCAGTGGGCAGTGTCAGAGGCCTGCCTCTCTCCATGTGGAGTGGCACACGTCCACCCCACCCAGGGTCCAGGCCCCAAACTCATCAGGGCCCCAGGGAGGAGAAAGCCAGGTACCTCTCCCGCTTCTCTCTCCAGATACCTGCAGAGATGCCCTCCCAGGCACCTTTGACAAGCACCTTTCTATTGTCAAGCAGGGAGGTGTGGCTCCCCACCAATGCTCTCTTCCATTCCGGGATGAGCACTTGGCTTCATCTTCAGTGGCCAAAGGGTCTATATTGTATTTTTCTCAAAGCAAGGAAGCAGCCTGCCCTGAAAGAGGACTTTCAAGCCTCTATCTTGAGAGAGAGAGAATCTGCTGGTAAAATGGCTGTTCTGCCCACTTCCGGCCTTTGAGATGAAACACCAGTGGTGCTGAACCTCAGCAGAGCACAGGTGAAGGGTGAAGGGCCCGTGGTCCACTCACTGGTCCCTTTGCTCCCTGCGCAGCACGGGTGGTACTCGCCCATTTTTCATGTGACGGGTCTGAACCCTGGCAAGGTTAGGTGGCCCTAACTCCTGAGTACCTCCATGCCCAAGGCTCTCTTGCCTCATTTCTACGTCTACCATCTTTGACAAGGACATCTCATGACGTGCAGATGAGGGCTCCCCTGGGGCCATACAGGGTGGAACGCTATGGGGGAGGGGGGAGAAAGTGCCCCTTGCCCCCAGGTGAATGGCTGTTGTCACATCTCATAGGCCTGGTCTGCGAGTCGCTATCAGAGTTTAGCTACTTTTGCTTAAGGTGTGGCGAGCACTTTGCCTGCATCACCTCGTTTAGTCCTAACCTCAATCCTGCTCGACGTACATTATTCCTGAGGCCGAAGGACATGAAGCAGCCGCCCAAGAACTGAGAGGACCGGCGGCAAAGAGGTCAAGCGTGCCTGCGTTCGAATCCTAACTCCACCACTTAACTAGCTGTGGTACCTCGGGCAAGTTCTGTGCCGCAGTCTCTTCGTCTGTAAGATGGGGCTAATAATTGGTAGCGTGTCCTGAAGATTAAACAAGTTAATGGGTGTAAAGCACCTTGGAGACTGCCAGCCACATAGGGAGCACAGCATAAAAAAACCACTGCCTAATTGTTATTAGCTACCATTCAAGCCTTGGAGAGCGTGACTTGGCAGCCTGGCCCTCCCATCACCCTCTCTGCATCTCCTGAGAAAGGCAGCAGGGCCCGGCTCCAGGCTGAGGCCGGGGCTGGAGTCTGGAAGCAGAGCAGACAGAAATGCGTAGGAGTCCGGGTTGCAGCTGCACACACGACACACTCACTTTATTCACATTGATACAAAAGTAGATTTTTCTAGAAATGTTCTCTTGTGCCAGGGGGAGAGAGTTGAGTGGCATGTGGCGGCGGGAGGGCCGGGGGAGGGGGTAGGAAGGGCAAGGGCCAGAGTGTGGGTCGTGGAGGCAGGTCAGCGGGCAGCAGGGGCTGGGAGAACAGGAAGAGCTGGACATGGTGGCCCCTCCGCCCCATTCTAGCCACACCGGAGGGTGGAGGGCGTCCACACAGACATATTGGGAGCATCCAGAGTGGTGGGAAATGGGGGCCAGGGAACTCAGGCAGGAGGAGGCTCTGGGGTGGAATGGTTGATTTCCTCTCCTCCTGGCCAGCTGCCAGCTCCCCCACGGGACTGATGCCAGGGCTCCCGGTGTGCCCCTTCCCACTTCCCCTTCTTTACATGCTCCTCTTGGAAGGGCTAGACATGCCCAAGAGGGGCCAAGGTGGCAGGTGGGGAAGTGAGGAGTGAGTACACAGATGCTCACATAGCAAAGAGGGAGCAGAGGCTGGGCTGCCCACGGAGGGGCCCCAAGGGTCTCACTGGGGCAGGGCCTTAAGGATGGCATTCACCTCCTCCGCCACAGCTGTCAGGGCAAATTCAAACTGGTCCTGGGGAAGGGCAGGGGGAGGAGGGTCATGGGGGGTCCTGGCCTCTGCTCCTGCCCCGGGGGTGGAGGGTGCTTTGGGGAGGTCACTTGTGGGGTGGGGGGGAGGGAGCCCTCCCGGGGGAGGGGTATGGAGGCAGGCAGGAGAGGCCGGCTGCTGCCACTTTGGTTGGGGAAGGGTGGTAGCTAAGGTGGGTGGAGGGAGGAACGGTTACCTTGGAGCGGACGAGACCAGGCCGCTGGTCACGGACATGCTCCAGGGTGGCAGCGATGTCAATCTCCTTCACTCCTGGGTAGGGGGAGCACGGGGCTGCTCAGGGGGTGTCCAGAGGAGGGTAGGACCCCAAAAGCCTAGGGCATCCTGGGGTGGGAGGCTTGCAGGACTGGAGAAAGCCTGGGGGTGTGGCAACCTGCCCTCCACGAACTCCTGTGATCCCAGGGGCTGGGGAGACGCTAATCAGAGGCTGGGCTGTGGGCGAGCTGTGGCCGGGGAGGAGGGGGTCGTCACCTTTTGCCATGCGGTTCAGTACCATGTCGATGAGGATGTAGGTGCCAGTCCTTCCTGCACCGTCACTGAAAGAGGAGATGGTGACAGGCTGAGTCTGGGACCCAGCAGGAACCGGGAGGAGAGGGGGAGACTGGTGGAGCTGTTAGGGTTAGCTGGGGCTGGGGGTGGGATGAGTGAGTGGAGGATGAGGGAACGGTCATAGCCCCTGGGTCCTGGGAATTGGGCCTCGAGGGGGGAGCCTGTGACCCATGGGGTGTCTCTTGGGCAGTGAGCTAACCGAAAAGGATAGCCCTGGCTCTGCCCTGAGGCAGAGGCAGCAAGAGGGAATAGCTTTCTCCAGCCTCTGGCCAGGCTTTCATTCAGCAAACTTCTTATGTAAATGATAAGATGGTAAATATTTTCAACTTTGTGGGCCACGTATAGTCTCTGTCAAACGTTTTTTTTTTTCCTTCAACTGTTTAAAAATAGGAACATCATTCTTAGCTCACGGGCCATTAAGAAAACAGATGGTATGCTGAATTTGGCCCATGGGCTGTGGTTTGCTGGCATCCAGGGGACAGGCAGGCGGTGTGCTTGGGAGGTGGGCTGAGGGAGCAGGACCAGAGAGGGGGTGGGAACCAGGAATGCCCCACCTCAGGGCCCTCTGGCCTGGCTGTCCTGTCCCCTTCCATCCCCACCCCAGCCCCCCTGAACGCACCTGCAGTGCACAATGATGGGGCAGGAGCGGCCCCGGTAGCACTTGTTCACCTTCCTGCAATAAGAAATGGGCGTGAGGTCAGGGGGCACCAGCAGAGGGAAAGGGGAACCGAAACACACAACTGAGGGCCTCTCTTTCTTCCTTTTCTCCCCACATGCCAATGGCAGAGGAGGGAAGAGGGCTGGAGACAGGAGTCAGGGCTGGAGGCAAAGAACCAGAGATAGTGTAGGTGGCACTGGGCTTGCCTCATCACTTATGAGCTATGTTCCCAAGCTGTGTACCTGGAACAATGGATTTAACCTCTTTGAGCCTCAGTTTTATTACCTGTAAAGTGGGGATGATAAGAGTAGTAACCTCCTTCTTAGGGTTCTTACTATGATTATGTGAAATAATCCATGTAAAGAACTAAGTGCAATACCTGGCACACAGTAGGTGCTCATTAAATGATAGTATGATTAATAATAAGACATAATAATATTAACAGCCACCTCTGCCAGAAGTTCAGGGAGGATGGGCTTTCTGGTGACTTCAAGGGTGTCAATCTTGCCACATCCTTGCTCTGCCCCTACAACTGCCCAAGGTATTCCGCTTGCCACCCAGGCTTCCTGTGGTCCTCACCAGCAGTGAGGTCGGGTAGTAGCCCTGGGCACAGAGTTCCTCTGGCGAGGGGAGGACAACACCTCCGCTCTGAATATGATGCTGCGCCTGTCTCCCTGGATAAGTCTTGCCTCCACACTGGTGCTCCGTGGTTGGGTCATATTCAGACTTGGTCCACCTGGACCTCCGACTCTTCTGCCCTGATCACAGCAGCTCAGCAATGAGCAGGGGGTTTCTTCCTCTCTCAGTGGCCCAGTCTAACCTGCCCTTGTCCCTTATGACATTCCTGCTTTGAGAGTCACTTGCAGATTTCTGATACCTCCAATGGGCCAGGGCAAGGGAGGACCTTCTGAGGGGTTATTAGAGTACTTCAGGGGAAGCTTGGAACTTAGTGGTCCTCCATCTGGTTCCTCAAGGCTTGCAGGGGCCAGGTGACTTTGAAAGGTTTTCCAGGAGTCCACATGGTTTTCTAGCATATTGGCTGGTATATCAGGGCTGGGGTTGAACAGAAGTTGCCACAGTGGTTCCCAATCATTTAATAATAATGATAAGAAACAGTACTTAGAATTAATAGAGCCCTTACTACGTGCCAAGCACTTAAAGCAGATTTTACAGACTTTATGCTACTGACTTTTGTAACAACCCCTAAAGTATGGGTCATCATTCTCATTTCACAGGTAAGAAAACAGACAGAAGTCAAGGAACTTGCTCAGAGTCACTTTCTAGGACTTAAAGAATTATTTTGCCTTGCCTCTGGTGGACCTTCACCAAACTATATTTATTAAGCAGCAATTAATTTGTTCTGGGTGTCTAATGCCAACTGAGTTTACATAATCCCAGCCTAAAGCAAAGAAATATAACCTTTTGGCTAACCTGTGCAGCCTTAAAACAGGTCCATGCACTAGTTCTATAAAGATTTTTAAAATGTGGAAAACAAAAAAAATAGCTCTGATGCCCCTAGCGTTGCTTTTGAGAAGCCTGTGCCTCAGGCCCCGGGGACCCCAGTTAGAAACCATTGTCCTGAGGCTCAGAAACTATCCCCAGGTTCCTCCCTCAACTGCCCCCCGCCCCCGCCGGCTCTGCCCCTCTGCTCTCTGCCTAGCGCCTAGAGACCTCAGGCCAGCCTGGCAAGGGGCAGAGAAGCAGGAAGCCGCCACAGTGTGGGTGAGGCCCCAGCCTTGGCAGCAGACTTCTCAGCCACCTGTCTAGGGAGGGGACAGGCAGGGGATGCTGGAGGCCTGGCCTGGTCACGGTTTCAGCATCAGAACAGGGCAGGTCACCCTGTTAGCCTCCTGTCCCAGCCCCTACCTGGTTCCACTGAGTCCCCAAGAATCCAGAGATCCTCCCACACTCCCTTTGATAGTATTTGCCCCTTGCCTGAGTCTCCCCAGCCCCCGGCTCTCCCAGCAGCCTTCAGGGTGGTCCCTGGGCCCACACGTCCTCATGTCCTGTCCATGCAGCGGCCACACCTGCCAATGATCACTTTTGTGACTATGCAACTGGAGTGAGAATACTAGCTGCAGATCACAAAAATGACACTGGCAGCCGTGAGAGAGAGAGAGAGAGAGAGAGAGAGGGAGGAGGGAGGGGACAGTGAGGGGAGATAGAGCCAGGGAGAGATAGAGCCATGTAGAGAATGAGAGATGGTGGGGGGAGACAGAGACAAAGAGAGGCAGAGTAAATAGGCAGACATGGGAGGGAGGTGGAGGAAACAGAGCAGGGAGAAGGAACAGGGAGAGGTGGAGAGAGGGGGAAACGTGGATGGAGGGGAAGAGTGAGTCAGACTTCGAGACACAGTGATGGAGAAAGAGGTGGGCGGGGGAGGGAGGGGGGGAGAGAAAAGAGGGAAGGAAGGGAGGGAAAGAGAGGGAAAGACAAAGGGAAAGAAAAATAGAGGCAAAGAGACACAGAGGGTTAAAGAAGGGGGATGGCAGGAGGGAGTGAGAGACAGGGAGGGGACAGCAGACACACAGACTAGTGCTGGCCACCTGGAAGCACAGGACAGGAGGAAACAGGCAGCAGGGACCGAGGAGAGGGAGAGAGCTAGAAACAAAGTGAGCCCTTCTTGGGGGGAATGGGGTTACGGAGAAAGTACCGGACATGGAGAGGCAGGGAGAAAAAGAGTGCAAGAGAGAGGGAGGAGACAGCTGGCCAGCAGAGAGAGAGCAGACAGGGGCTGGACTACAGCAGTGGAGGAATGGGCACAGCGAGACAGAGCGTCAGTTCTGGTTTGGGGGGTGGTGTCTGGAACGGGGTCCAGGAGGTCAGAGTCAGTCCTGGTTTGGGGTGTCTAGCAGGGGGCACCAGTGGACCTGAGGCCGAGGCTCCAGGTCAGGCTAGAGGATCTGCCTCACCTGACCTGGGGCCCTAGGAGGACCTGATGGATTGGCGGAAGGTAAGGGAGCCTAGCTCCCGGGCCCTTGCTCCTGTGCAGCTCTCTCCCCGGCTCCTCGGAGCCTCCCCCGGGCCGCCCCACCGCCCAGGCGCTGGGGCGCTCACCTGCGGAAGTCCAGCAGGGGCCGGGTGGAGGCCGGGGTGCCCTCTGCCGGCCAGCTGAGGAAGTGGAACTGCGTGAGCGTGCGCGTCTCCTGGGTCTGCACGTTCTTCAGGTAGAAGCTCCGCACCAGGAAGTCCTCGCACCAGATGTGCTCCGACACGAGGTTCACCTGCGGAGGAGGGGGTGCAGGCCTGAGCGCGGCAGGGCATCTCCAAATCTTCCCGGCCTCCCAGGCCAGTCAGATTCTAAATCCTCCAGGAAGCTCACCCAACCGCCCACCCCAACTGTTCCAGCTGTCCCCAAGAACTCTAGCTGTTTGTGTCACTTATGGACTGCTCAGGACAACTGGTGGCTTTTTCATCTAGACACAACTATTGTGAGTTTTCATTTGTTTGTTTTGGCTGAGCCCCGTGGCTTGAGGGATCTTAGATCCCCCAGGGATCAAACCCAGGCCCAGGGCAGTGAAAGCACCACTGGACGGCGAGGGAATTCCCAATATTGTGAGCCTCTTGAATTCAAAGTTTCTCCTTCCTGTTCTGCACAGAGACTAGCAAAGTGTCTGTGCTACACACACCGTAAACTTTGATAAAATTCTATATTTTCATTTGATTTTTTTCTTTAACCACAAGCAAGACCAATTTTTAAAACTTAAAAAGACTGTTGTGTGCTTACCTGATGATGCAAAACTGCTATCCAGTGCTCATGAGAAACTGGACGTGTGCAATTAATGTCTCTTGTTTTATTGGGGGGGGTGTCACCTCCCATTTGTCAGGAATGTTGCTCCTTCCCTTGCTTTGCCGCTGCCCAGTTCCCCCCTACCTAACTTTTCTCCTAATGAAAAAGTTTGTTTCTGTTTTAAATAAGCAATATATGTGACTGGTGGCATTTCTTTCTTTGCTTTGGCCTCCAGGAAACTCAGATCTAAGTTAGGCTCAATAAAAGTAGGTCTCAATCTTGGCCTTTGAGTATACTTATCTTCCCTGTCTCAAAACTGTACTCCTGACTCTTAGCTTCTTACCTTAGTTTCAGTGGTTTTATAGCTTTATATCTATCTGTACCTTTCATCATAGGTCCTTACAAGTGCTTTTTGGCCCTAGACTGGACACACACATACACACATGTATATGCATGTATGTGAATATGTGTATGCACATGTTTATATACACATATGTTTACACATGCATGAGTGGTGCACCATCCATTTTCTCCACCCCCATCGTCTCCTGGCCGCGGGGTCTTGCTAACCTCATATACATGGTAGAGGGAGGAGCCCTCATCTGGCCAGTAGCGGTCACACTGCTTGACACCATCCTCCACCAGCGGGGTCAGCATGACAATGACGGTGCAGCCACTCTCCCACACCATCTAGGAACAGAGACCCAGGTAAGCTCCATTCTAACCTCCCTGGGACCTGGCTGGCCCTGGCTGGCCACAAGGGCGCCTACTCCCTGGAAAAGCCCTCCCTCCAAAAGCCCACCTGCCAGAAGTCTGAGATGGTATGTGACAGTGGGCCCTGTGTGGCTATGTAGGCTGGCATCCGAGGGTCGTGCTCAATCTGGGGACGGGAAAGATACATCGTGAGCCAGAATGGGAAATGCCACCATGGAGAGGCTCGGTCAAAGGGAGCGGGCCAGGTTCTGGGGGAGGCTGAGAAGCCCCATTGCCATGCTAGGATATCAGGCTCACAATTCTGGGGCCTTGGGTGGAGAAATGGAGCCTATGGGGGCAGGATGAAAACGGGGAGGAGGTGGGGGCCACTCACAATGGGGCTGGCGTTGATGTAATCGCTCCGAGAAGGGCTGCTCTCCACCTTCAGCTTGATGCGTGCGTGGTCATCTGCACAGACCCCGCATCCCACCCCAGAAGCCCCTCCAGTCATTGGGGTCCTGGCACCTCTGCCACTCAACTTGAGCCAGGAGCCCGGCCCCGCCCCCAAGCCCTCCAGAGCTCCCAGCAGACAGAGGGCTGGGGCCGGCGGGTCAGCAGGACTCACTCACAGGGCAGGAAGTCAGGGTTGCGGTTCTTTTTGATGTTGCCCTCCCCCTGGGCGGTGGCACAGGTGTTGGGCTCCGCCTGGTAGGCACACAGGGCCCGCCACTCCTTGGCCAAGCGGTCCCGGTTCCGCAGGTGGTCCTCCATGTACGCCTGCAGGGACACCACAGCCTGGTGCTGGCCCCCACTGCCAGCCCTGCCCCTCCCACCGTCCGGTCCCCTCACCCACTCTGGGCCGATGCCCTGTCCTGACCAGAATCATGTGTCCCGTGGAGATGTCCATGTTGGCCTGGGCGGGCTCCTCGCACCAGGACGGTGTGCTGCTGTGGGAGCTGGGGCTGGCCTGGGCCGCATCACTAAACTGCGAGGACACGCTGCTCACCCGAGAGGGCTCCGGTGGACCCTCTGCCCGGCTGAACAGGGACTTTGTGGCCATGTGCTGGCGGCACAGGTCCTGCGGAAGAAGGATGGGGCAGGGTCCAAGGTCTCCTGAATCCTTCCCCACAGGGTCCTGGGCTCAGTTCAGTAGAGTCCCTAGGCTTGCCCTTGATTGCTTTTGAAAGAAACCCATTTCCTCTGGGGTAGGGTCTTCTGCCATGGCTCTCATCCTTTTCGGGGCTGTTCTGCTTGGCTGGTGCCTATGACAACCTCGGATGTCACAGAGCAGAAGCCTAGAGCCCCCCCCGCCCGAGTCACAGCACTGGGGAGAACTTCAGCAACCATCTGCTCTCAGTTCCCATCCATCCAAAATGGCCCCGCAGCACTCCCACTGGGGCTTCTCCAGCCCCTGCCTGGACATCCAGCTCCCCACCCTCATCCCAGCGAGACCCCGACTCCCGAGCCCCTTCCACTCCCTCTCATCAACAAGCGTCTGGGGCTGCACACCTGGTACTCAAAGGTAGTGTCACCGTGGGCGCCCTCGGGTCCCAGCGCGGCCAGGCGCTCCTTGTCCCGCTGCCGCGCACGCTGCCGTGCACACAGGGCCACTGCCAGAGCCACGAGCAACCCGGCCACACCCGCCAGGGCCACCAGAGTAAGCAGCATGGAGCGCATGGGAGAGGTGCCGTGGGCCGGTCGGGGAAGGACGGCGGCTGCCTCCTCCCTCTGTGGGAACAAGGCTAGAATCAGGGGGGGCAGTGGTGTGGGGAGACTTAGGAGCTGCTCCCCACCCCCGTCCCATGGCCCACTCCCTGCTAGGATATCTCCTGGGGCAAAGCTGGGAGGCAGGGGCATGGCAGTACAGGCAGAAGGACTTGGAGAGGCCGAAGATCTTCCTTCTCAATCCCCATTGAGGCAACTCAACCACGTTGCACTGCCAGAGACTTAGTGGGTGACCCTCCCTAGGAGTTTTTGCATTTAAAAATGGATACAGAGAAGTATAGAGAGACCCAAGGGATCAAAGAGTAGAATGTGAGGCATCAGTGTTGGATGCAGAATAGAAGCATATTTTGAGTTCAGTGTCCTTTCTGTGTCATGTTTTCCCTTGGAATTTGAGATTTTGCTCTAGAACATCTATGGACAGCTATGGCCATCTCAGGATTCTTCCAAGTAAGCTGACTTCGGAGAGAAGGCTGGACCTGCAGGGAGGAGCTGCTGGGGCCATCTGCTGGTCAGAAAGAAAACTGCACGGGGGAGGGCTGCTTTGGCAAAGCTGGGGGACCAGCCAGATAGATCTCAGCTCCTATTCTCCTGTTGTTTGCCTGCATCTCTTGTGGGCAACATGAGCCCTCTGGGGCTTTGATTGATCCTTCAGTTATCTCATACCTGTCCCACGCCTGTCTGCAAGATCTGGAGCCCTGTCTGTGCTTCCAGTTCAGACTTCACCATCCCTGCAGGGAGGATGTAGGTCAGATTCTGTCCAGCCCCATGTGGTCTCCACCCCATGTCATGCTATGCCAGGTGGCAGGCAGGGTCCATGTGGGCTGGGAATATTTCAAGGGGAGCACCAGCCACAGGCCTGGATATATACAACTCAGGCTGGGGTCAAGGAGTACTTACCAGCTTGCTTGGTCACGTCAGCCAAAGACAGGTTCTGTTCATTGTGCCGGATGCGGAAGGTAAGGGCTGGTCCCACGACACTGCCGAATAGGAGGTATGTTACTGCCTCACCCACCACAGATGCCAGATTCAAAATGAGAGGTCCTCTCTGGCCCTCTCCCTGTTAGAGGATGGGGCTAAAACCAATCAGAGATGCCATACAGGGGTGTTTGAGGCTGGGAAGATACTGGATGGGGCCAGCAGCAGGGCTGGGTGTGGCTGTACCTTCAGTGCAGCTGGAAACATCTTTGAGCCGACCTTGGCCCCTTACTCACAGTTTGTCTTCCCCTCCTACCCTGAGCCCCTCCAGCCACCTCCCGCTTCAAGCTACCTGCTAGATCCCTGCTGCCCCAGCCAGATACAGCCCCACCTGATGTTGATGAAGCTGCCCGAGGACATGTGCACATGCTCAGCCAGGATCTCCAGAAGCTTCACTCCTGCAGCCAGACTCAGGGGCCTGGAGGTGGGGAGCCGGCAGAGGAAGGAAAGTGGGGACCCTCTAGGCCACTTCCTTGAAACAACCTCCAGGGGTGCAGAGCAGCCCAGCCCCGTGTCCACTCCACATCTGGACTTCTGCTCTCTGCTTCCTGCCAGGCGGGCCAGCCCAACACCCAAGGGACCAGGAGGCTGCCCCAGGCTGGAGCCCTTACTTCTGGTCAGTGACAATGTAGCCATATTCCTCTGCTGATGGCCTAGCCGAGGGCTGCCCTGCCGCCGTGGGCTGGCTCTGGCCCAGTGGACTTTTCTCCTCTCGCAGGATGGGCGTGGCAGGGGGGCCGGCAGCTTTGGGGGGCTCAGAGGATCCAGAGCTCAGCTCCTGCTGGGCTTTACTGGAGGTGGGACCAGCAGTGGGGGATCCGGGCAGGGAGGGCGTGGGCGGTGGAGGCTCCGCTGAGTCTGCGCCCTGCACCTGCTCCTCCACTGTCTGTATAGAAGAGAGGACAGAGGTATGGTCTCTAACGGTGGAGGGGTCGGGGGGAGGGGGTCCACACTCTGGACGCTGAGCTCCCACAGGGGTGCTTAGGACATGTTTCTCTTCCTATCCCCAGGCCCAGGTCAGCACTGAGTACAGAGAGGGCATCCAGGAAAGTGAGCCAAGTGGATGAATGAATGAATGAAAAAAGGACTGAATGAGTGATTATTCATGATCAGTAATAATCCACAGGATGGGGCTGGAGTGGGGAGAAGCTCCGGAGTGAGGAAAGTTGGGGTTAGGGGAGAAGACGAACAGGCAGGCCGTGGTTTTTCGACTTTTGTTTAGCCACACAATCTTAGAAATCCAACATGTGAAACGGATAGAGTGCCTCAAGCCGCAGGGCAGTCAGGAGCCCGCCTGGTCGCGTCCCCCCGCTTCCCCTAGGGACCCTCAGAGTGTGGTCTGAGATGACTGTAGTGTAAAAAAGCAGTGAATCAAGAATTCTAGCTTCTGGTCCCAGCTCTGCCTTCAACTTGAGGTGAGACCGTAAACAATGACTTGCAGCCTCCGGGCCTCAGTTCCACCGAAATGAGGGCTTGGAGGACACAGATTCTGGGTCCTGGTCCTGAGATTTAGATTTCAGTCAAGGGGTTTGCTGCCGTTGGGCACTTATGGGTCAGGCAGGTGTCACAAACTCACTTTCTTGATGTCAGCTCCAATGTTTACAACCCCTCCTGCAGAGACAGGAAAAACAAGACTCTGGGCAAAGGGCCAAGGCCAAGGTCCACACAACGCAGGTGGGAGAAAAGGCCACAGGCCCTGAGCCTGTTACATTTGCTGTGGCCTCTTTCCCCGCGTCAGTAACCAAGACCCTATCCCTGGTGTCGTCCTAAGCATGGCCTCATGCCTCTGTGCATCTGCCTTATAATTCATTGTTTTATCAACTCCTCCCTCTGTTATTGGCCACACCTCTCAAAACTATTCTCTGCTCAGTCCTCCCTCTGCCCATCAATCATTGGCTTCTCCTTTTTAGTGGCCATGCCCCTCCTTAGGTCCTCATGATCTTCCGTCCAGCTTTCTCCGTGCCTCCTGGTCCCGGCTCACACCCCCTGTTGGCTTCTTTTCCCATTGCTTCCATCCTCCAGTCCTTTCCTGCTCTAACTCCTCGGCTTACCACCCCACCCCTTGCTCCCTGCCCTTGGCTGGCAATGACTCCGTGTCTCAGAAGAACTCCCTCCCCTGACCTTGGCCCTTTCCCTCTAGTTTGCTTGCTGTGGTCTTGAGAAGTGGGGCAAGGGGCCTCCACGGGGCTGGTAGTCTCTCTGCCTGGACACTCACCCAGGTTTCGGCCTGCACCCTTGGGCAGCAGCCGCAGCAGGGTGGAGAGGGTGGAGAGCTGCTCAGGAGTCAGCTGACGGAGCTCCACCCCGTAGCCCGCCAGCACAGCTGCCAGCCTCTGCAGAGTCACATCTGCAGGGAGCCAGACACGGAGCTTAGGGCTGGTGCCGAGATGAACTTGTGGGATGCATTTGGGGGTGGGGGGGACCGGTGGTACATTTAAGAACTTTTCAAACACCAGGACATTGATGCCCTCCCCTTCCCACCCTTGTCCACACTTTGGGGGAAAGAGCTTCCTGTGTCAAGACCAAACTTCAGGCCCAGCAGGGACTCCTTGATCCCCCAGCTGAAGAAGAGTCATGTCAACTCTACTGCCCCCACTGTATCCCCACTGCCTACCTAGAGCCTGGCATAGAGCAGGTGGTCAGTAGACATGAGCTGAGTGTGCAGGTGACTTTAAGGACAAATTAACAAATGCGTGGGTAGTCAGGAAGGACCCTCCCCGCCCCACCTCCCAGAAAGCAGCCCCACAGGCAGGGAGCGGATGCTGCGGACTCTGTTACCTGGCTGCTCTTCTGGGGAAGGAGGCTTCTCCCTGCGACCCTCTAGTCCTTCCTCCTCATAGCCTTCTGAGGAGTCATCTGCCTGGCTGCTGCCCCCTTGCTCTGGCAGCCTTGGTGCCCTGGCCCTGCTGGGCACTTGTGGCTCCTGGGCCAGGTAGAGCAGCCCTGACTCCTGGAGAAGCTGAGCAGGCGGAGGCCCTGGAGGGTCCCCATAGGAACGGCCAGGGTGAGCCCCGAACGTGCCCTTGGAGGCAGTTCTGCTGAAGAGGGCTGGGGGTTCAGCTTTGGGCAGGGGGCCAACACTGACCATTCCTGGGGAGCTCTCTGAGCTCCGGGGGCCATCGCGGGAGCCAAACTGTGGGAAACCAGAGATTCGGATGAGAGCAGACATCAGGGCTGGGGGACTGGGGTTGCAGTGGGGCGGAGGTCCAGGGCTCACCTGATGGAACAAGTAGGGCTGCAGCAGGGCAGGTTCATAACTCAGGGCGGGGTGGGGAGGCTGCGGGGGCAGCAGCAGATGCTCCAGGAGAGGGGGCAGCAGCTCAGCCTGCAAAGGGGAGAGGGGGGAGCCTGCCCCAGCTCCACCCCTACCTACTGGAGGTCGAGGAAGCCGATGCTGGGGAGCAGGGGCGGAGCCAGTGGGGATGCCCTGTAAAAGCAGCTCCCCAGCGGGACCCGGTCTCCTGGGCGCCAAGCCAGATCTGGGGAGGAAAGCAAAGTGTGTGTGTGTGTGTTTATGTGCGTGTGTGTGTGTGTGTGTGTGTGTGTTGGTCGTGTGGGGGAGGGCGTATAGAGCCTACGAGGCAGAGATGGTGGGTCCAGGCTTAGCATAGAATGAGCCTGCTCTCTTAAGAGATGAGGTAGCCTCAGGCGAGGAGACAGTAGCATGGGGAAGGGCCAGAGGGCCAAGCCTGGGGCAGAGGTCATTGCCTCCCTGGTAAGCATGACTGGATCCCTGAAACACAGCCGCAGAGCTGGAAGCATGAGGCTAGGGATGGAGAGGGGAGAACAGGAGAAGGGGAAGGCAGCTGGGAACCGCTCTAGATGAACTGTGTCTGCAGCTTGCCACACTGTCCCTGTGGGCATGTCCCCAAGTACGCAATCAAACACTCAGTACTGTGCGCTCTCACTCTGTTCCCCCTGCCCCACTCTGCCTTCTTCACCTGGTGTCATCGTCTGAGCCCCAAGCCGTCATTTGCTTTCCTCTGCTTTACAGGGTCTGAATGATGCCTTCAGAGCCCCTAACCACAAAAAGATGACGGTACCTCCTACCATATACAATTCCACATAGTAACAAAACTGAACATTAAACAACTTCAGTCCGACAAAATTCTAATTTGTTCCATGATGACTACTTTGATGCTTCTTTTAAGATACCAAATGTCCTGTATACACTGCTATATTTAAAACAGATAACCAACAAGGACCTACTGTATAGCACAGGGAACTCTGCTCAATATTATGAAACAATCTAAATGGGAAAAGAATTTGAAAAAGCATAGATACACGTATATTTTTAAAAAACTGTAAAAAGGAACATAATTTTACACGTACTTATAAGTACTTATATATGTGTCTGCCAATACCATGTAGTACTAATTATTATACCTTCTCCACTCTCTCTATCTCCTGATGCATCCCAGAAATCAGTTCAAGTACTACCATTATCTGATTCATATCTGAGTCTGATGTGGGTGAAACTTTGCTAACATATCTTTCCTATGTCAGTACTAGAGAAAAATTAATTTGTCTTGTTCTCCTACTTTGTATCCGTAAAGAGTAGCACAGTGATTGGCACATAGTATAACCTTGTATTTTTTGCTGAGTAAATGAATTCATTAAAAGACAAACCAGACCAAAAACAAAATACCAAAAGTCCAAATGTTTCAAAACAGTTTTTAACACCGTAAATCAATTATGCTTCAAGAAAAATTTAAAAAAGACTTTGTTAGGCAAAAAAAACACAAAACAAAACAGTTTTTTTTTTTTGTTTTGTGGTACGCGGGTCTCTCACCGCTGTGGCCTCTTCCACTGCGGAGCACGGGCTCCGGATGTGCAGGCCCAGAGGCCATGGCTCACGGGCCCAGCTGCTCCGCGGCATGTGGGATTCTCACAGACCGGGGCACGAACCCGTGTCCCCTGCATCGGCAGGCGGACTCTCAACCACTGCGCCACCAGGGAAGCCCTAAAACAGTTTTTAATGGCCCTCTTCTGCTGGATCCCCAGGGATGAGCTCAGCTCGTGTTGGGCATGTGAGCGCGTCAGATGACTGACTACTCCAGAACCTCTTTTACCCAAGCCCCAGCCTGCTGATTTTTGTACCCATTTCCCTCTGTCCATCAGGATGATCACAGATCCACCAGCCTTGCTATGACAGAGTTGATGAGAAATGATGCCTACCTGTCCCTTGGATGGGGCTCTGCAGGGTGAAGCCTGGGGATGCGCTCCATTTCCTGGGAGATCACATACTGGGTGAGGTCATCGTGCCAGGACAGTCCTGCCAGGGAACAGAATAGGGTGAGATTGAGATTGCCTTGGGAAAGTCTGAGGGCCCAGTAACAGGGACCAGTGTAGATCAAAACTGCACCCTCCACCCAGCAGTGTGTTGAATTTGGCAGGGCAGAGGAACAGTGGAGGGGGTCTAGAGATGTGGTGGGTGACTTGAGCTGTCCTTTTCCCACACTCAGGTATAGATTTGGGAGTGAGACTGCTTCCAGTGGGACTGGGTTTAAGTCCTCTGCCACTTACTAATTGTGTAACCTTAGCTGAACCTATCTGAGCCTTAGTTCTCTCATCTGAAAAATGGGGGTTTACACCTCCTAAAATTGTTGCGATAATTAAAATACACAATACAAAATGGTTAGAATAGTACCTGACACATAGGGAGCTTTCAATAGTGCTATTATTATAATCATCATCAATATTATTATTCAGCTTTTTTTTTTTTTTTTTTTTTTGTGGTACGCGGGCCTCTCCCATTGCGGAGCACAGGCTCCGGACGCGCAGGCTCAGCGGCCATGGCTCACGGGCCCAGCCGCTCCGTGGCATGTGGGATCTTCCCGGACCGGGGCACGAAGCCGGGTCCCCTGCATTGGCAGGCGGACTCTCAACCACTGCACCACCAGGGAAGCCCTTAGCTTCTTTTTATTAATCCTGAACCTTAGTTTTCTTTATTTGTAAAGTGAGAATAATATATACTTTATGGGTCTGTAGTAAAGATTAAGTACAATCAGGAAAATAAAAGTGCTTGGAAAACTCCAAAGCACTATACACCTGTTTTAAACATTCATCAACATCATCTTATCATGAGGCAGATCTCCTGTTTGACCGTTTTCCTCCATGAAACTCTGCTCTCAGGAAAGGTCAGTCATCTATTTTAAAGGGATAATCTCCCACTCTCCACCCCCATTCCTTTTTCCTTGTTTCTGGATTAATAATCTGTACTGCTCTTAACTCATACCCTGGGATCTATACCTGCTTTTTTGCCTATTAACATTAGATGAACTATCTGTGTTCCTGTATAAGGCCAATTCCTCTACTTGAGCACTAGATTTCATCCCCTACTACCTACTCAAGAACATCTTCCCCACAATTCTCCCCTATTTCCTACATCATCATTTTCTCCTGTTCTCTACTGAATTATTCCCATTCACATACAAACATGATGCAGTTTCTCCCATCTTATAAAAATACTGTTTGATCCCACAGTCCCCTCCAGCTATCACCCCATTTCTTTGCTTTTCTTTGTAGCAAGACTCTTTGAAAGTGTTATTTATACTGGTTGTATCCAGTTCTTTTCCTCCCATTCCCTCTTATCCACTCTATTCAGGATTCTATTCCCAACTATTCTACCAAAACTGCTTTCATCAAGATCACCAGTGGCTTCTGCATATCTAAATCCAGGGTCAATTCTCAGATCTCATCTTACTTAACCTACCACCATCATTTGACACTGTTGATCACTCCTTCCTCCTTGATACACTTTCACTTAGCTTCTAGGACACCATACACTCTTGTTTTTCCTCCTACCTTGCTGGCTCTCCCTTCTCAGACTCCCTTGTTGGTTCTGCTCCTTCTTCTGGTCCTCTTAATAATAGAATTCTTTAGGGCTTTTCTTCATAAACACACAATCTTTTGGTTATTTCATTCACCTCATGGGTTTAATTACCATCTATATGCCAAAGAATCCCAAATTCATATCTCCACTCCGGACCTCTCCTTTTTAAAACCCAATCTTATATACTCAACTTCCCACATTATTGAATGGATATCTTAAACTCAGTGTATTCAAAACTGAACACCCCTTTCCCCAAGTTGATCCTTCTGCATAATTAATGACATGTACATCAACCTAGCTGTTCAGGCAATAAAACCTAGGTGTCATCCTTGACTACTCCCTTTCTTTCATGGCCCTATCCAATATTTCATGAAATCATGCTCACTACCTTAAAAATACAGGCAGAATTCTGTCATTTCTCATTACCTCCCGGCAACCACCCTGGTCCATGCTTATTCATCTCTTACATGAGTTACTGTGATAGCTTTTAATGTTTCGTGTTTCTGTTTCTACCATTGACTCCCTACATTCTATTCTCAACACAGCAGCAAGAGTGATCTTTTTAAAGTAGAAGTGAGATCATGCACCCCTATGCTCAAACCTTGTGATGGTTTCCTCTTTTACTCAGAGTAAAGCCAATGTCCATACATTCTCATATAAAATCCCAGAGCATCCCTTCCCTCATTACCTACCTGACTGCATCTTCTACTCTGCCCCTCCATCACTCCTTTAGAGCCACTCTGTAGAGGGGTTCTCCATGGTGTTCCTCAAACTCACGCTCCTATTAGGGCTTTTATTCTATCTAGCTCCCTGGCCACCCGAAACACTCTTCCCTGAGATAACCTTCTGGGAAAGCATCCCCACCTCCTTGATGTCTTTATTTGAATTTCAGTCTCAATAAGGTCTATCTTGACCACTCAATTTAATACCACAGCTTCCTACCTCACCATTTCTGATCCCTTTATCCTGCTGTAATTGTTTTCTCCATGGCACTTATCACCTTCTAACATACTAGTGTTTTCTAATTTCTAGTGTATTCCCTCCCTTCACCCCTGAATGTAAACCCCAGTAGGCAGAGATCTTTGTTTCACTCCCTGATATATCCCAAGCACCTAAAACTACGTTTGCCACATAGAAGTACCCAATAAATATTGGTTGAATGAGTGAATTGGATGAGTGGGGTATTCTCCTGGCTGAAGACTCCAGGATTCATGGCCCTGGAGTACTCAGGCAGTTCCAGAGAGTGGGTTGGTCCTAAAGATATAAATGCTGGCCTCTTCCAGTGGTGTCTTCTAGAAGTCTCCTCTGGATTCCTCCAGAGAGTCTAAGTGTGAACAGCCTATCTCTAGGGTTCCACACCCACTCCTGTCTTGCCTCCTTCTCCAGTAAGGTCTGGGAAGGTGAGGTTCCAGAGTGGGTGTGATAGGAATGTTCCATGAGAGAAATCCTGGAGTCAGGTGGCCCCTCCCTTCCCCACCCTTATCTAACCAAGTTACAGTCTCCCTCCTCCAGCGCATCTAGACCTCACCTTGGGACATGAGCTGTCGGAGGACACCTTGTAAGCGTTGAAGAACTGGGGAGGTGACTTGCAAAAGGGGCCGGGCTTGCCCCACTCCCACCTGGCATTGTCCAAACAAGCCATCTAAGAGCACAAAAGTGGTGTCAGTGGGGGGGGGCTTGGACAACAGGTCTTCCAAAGTCCAGGCTGCAAATAGACAGCACTCCCTCAATCTCCTCTCTTGGCTTCAGAGAGCTCTGCTCCTCCAGTCCAGTCCCCCTTCTCTCCAAGCCCAGTTCCCCCTCTCCCTTCCAGCCCACCCCACTTCTTTCTTATTATATATCACCCCCCCCAACCCTGTTTTGTAAATCCTATGTTTGGGCCTCACTCACCCTGAATACAGACTTCGAGGTGAGAGCAGAGTCTGCGGTCAAACAGACAGCCTGTAGAGGACAGGTGAGCAGAGGCTCAGACACCCGCACACATAGAATGGTCAGATGGATGAACAGGCTAGAAAAGGGGGAAGCAGATGGGATCCACTCTTTCATTCTAAGGAAGACTTTAAGCTGGGAGGAGAGGAGGAAGAGTCCTCCTCTTGAGAAGAAAGCACAGGATCTGGCTTTGGATTTTAAAGATCTGCAAGTCTGGATTCTTTCCCTAAAAGCCTCTGTTAGCTTAAGTGAGTAATGGGGAGAAGAAGCCCTTCAGGTGCATGGGAATCGTGATGGTGGATAATCATATTGATACTTCTACTCTCATAGAATTACTATGGGGTAGTTTTTGTCCAAATTCTGAGGAAAAGGGGACTTTCCTTTCCCAATCTCCACAAGCATCTTATGATGGCCTGGGGCTCAGAAGAGATGGGAACCCCAGCACACTTCCCCTTCGTGTGGGAAAGGGGTAGCGGCGGGGTGTCTCTAAGGCAATGCTCCCCACGCTGTCCCTGCAGCCCGCGGCCCCTGTACTGCTGGGGCGGTTCGTGATGCTGAAGCTCTGAGCCTGGCGCCGCTGAGAGCTTGCCTGGAAGCAGTGATGGGGGAGGGAAGGGTAACAGGGTGAGGAGTCTCCAAGGGACGTGACCTCTCCGCCATTCCAGCCTTCATCTTCCACCCTCCTAACCCGCGGCGCCACAGGAAGTATCTCGCATTGGCCTCCAAGCCCGGCGGGGAAGAAGAACGCCAGACGGCGAGCTTGCCCCCTTCCCCCACGTGCGCCCCGCCCCCACCCTCCCCCTGCCCGTGAGTCAGCGCTGACTGTCTCTGTCCGCACAGACGTGAGTCAGCACCAGGCCTGGCCGTGGGGAGGGGGACGTGAGACGACCCTTCCCTCTTCACCTTCTTCGGCCCCCTCCCCCAGCTGTCCCTCTCTTATCGGAGATCAGATTACAGCCGTCGGCCTCTCTGGGCTTGAAGAGAAACGCTGGCCCCTCCCTCGGCCTGATACTGTACGGAAAGCTGGGACCCCGGAGCTCTCGGCCCCGACTTCTCCCGGCAGATCAGGGCTCCCTCTTCTTCCCTCCCCTCCTCCATCCCTCAGCTCCTGTCGCCACTTTTTGGCGCCTCGGAGAGACTTGCTTCTCCTGTGGTCCTGTATCCCATCTCTAGGTCCCTCTGTCCATATGCACCCCCATTCATTCTCCCCAAACCGCAATCTTCCCCTGAGCCCGCTTCTCTTAGGTCCCGCCCCCGAGCTCCCAGCCCCACCTCCAGGCCTACGCCCCTTTCCTCGCAGACGCCCTCTCATCTTCCTCATCTCACAGTGCCTCCCCCTACCCCACTCCACACACACATCTACCTGAGCTCGCGACCTGCGTGACACTTCCCCCCACGCCCCCCACCGAGTTTTGCTCCCGGCACCATCCTCCCCCAATCCTCCCATTTCCTCCTGACCGTGGGCGCTAATGGCGTTGCAGCCTCCCGGACGGCTGCCCAGCAGCATCAGGCAGAGGAGCACCCGGAGACCCCCAGATCCCCCGGGACCCCCAGGCCGCCGCGGGCGCCGCATCCTTCCGGGCTCCGCGCTCCCGCTCGGCTGTCAGAGCCGCAGCGACTCCGGCCGGAGCCTGCCAGAGGGGCCGAGGCGGGGCCTGCCACTCCCCACCCACCGAGGCGGGGTCTACACGCCCCTCTCGCGGCAACTCCGCCAACCCCAGGCGGATGGTGACGACATTTCCACCCCCGGCTCTTGCGTTGATTTGCGTCATTCGTGGCGTAAAAGCACTGTCTTACTGGGGGTCCTACCCACCCCGTCCCTCCTACCCCAAATAGTAGGCGCTTCTCTAGAATTCGCACTTGGCCTCACCTTGACATATGCTTCTCCCCAAGGACCACCACCTCTATCACCCAGTCGCAGCGTTGGCGAGAAGGGTTCCAGTTGTGTGGGGGCCAAGAAAGATACGTGAGCCGGGTCGTATAAACCTTAAGAAGAGGAGCATACAGGTGAATACAATATGTACTCTTTCGCATCTCAATTAATGGTACAGATGTTATCCTTAAGAGCAGGAATGGTTTTGCGTGTGTGCTCGGATGCCACTTCTAGCAATGCCACCTACTTAGGGGTATAACTTTGGGCAAGTTGCTTGACCTCTCTGTGCCCAAGTTTCCCGATCTGTAAAATGGAGGTGCCAACAGTGCCTCCCTCACAAGGTGGTTGTGAAGATTTACAGGAATTAAACTCACGTGGCTCACTTAGAACAACCACTGCACTGGCATATACTAAACACTGGATGTATATTGGCTTTTGTTATTAGCCTTGGCTCGCCTTTCTTTCGCCCTCTTCCACCTCGAGCCTATCAAAATCCTATGGTTTCTGCCTGCAAAATGTCTCCCATCAGCCCCCTTTTCTCTATATGATGGAGTCCATATGACTTCTCTCTTTCATGATGACTACTGCAGTAATCATCTAACGAGTCTTTTGCTTCCATTCTTGTCACCCAATAAGCTTGGGAGTGAGCTTTCTAAAGGTCAAAATTGATCACTTTACTCTCTTGCTGTTCATAAAAATTTTCCAAAATACAAAAATTAAAAAAGATGGTGGTGCATGGTACTCATACACTCATCACCTAGGCTGAACAGGTATTGATTATTTTGCCATCTTTGCTTCTTTTTAGTACTTAAAAGTAAACAATAGACATTATAGTTCCCTTCCAAAAGTTTCAATGTGCATTTCCAAGAAATAAGGGTATTTTCCCATATAACCTAAATGCCATTATGACACCTAATGAAATTTACGATAATTCCCGAGTATCATTTAATGCTCAGTTCAAATGTCTCAAATTGTTTCTAAAAAATGCCTTTTTTCAGCTGTTTTGTTCAAAGTAGCAGTCAATCAAAGACCACCATTGCATTTGGTTATGTTTCTTAATTCTCTTTAAATTAACATAAACAGTGCGTGTCCCCCCCCCGCCATTTTTTGACATTTTCTTGTGGAAGATACCAGGTCAGGTTTTCTTTACAACTCCCTACCTTCAGGATTTGTGACTGTTTCCTCGTGATATGTTTCCCTGTATTTTCCCTGTATATATCCTGTATATCCCCTGTATTTCCTGAAAAATAGAACTTAAGTCTTGACTGGATCAGGTAAAAATTTTTTAAAAACAAAAAATTTACAGGTGATGCTGTATGACTCCAATTGCATCATTTCAGGAAGTGTATAATGTCTGGCTGTCCCACTGTTAGTGATGCTATAATTGATCACTGGTTTAAGGTAGAGACAGCGAGATCTCTGTCATAAAGTAGTTCCCCAGCAACTTTTCACCTAGTGGTGTTGCCATTCATTGATGATCTTTGACTAAAATGTGATTTTCTAGTTCTATCACTCCTTTAACATTTGTTAGCTGATATTATTCCATAAAGAAGAACATTCTCTCATCAACTGCACTTAGTTATATCCTGAGATACAATTCCAACTGGAAAGGTAGCATACATTCTTAGTTTCTTCTCTTTAACTATTAATTTGCAGAGTAATGAGTTGGTGTAATAGTTACCGCCAAGAGTGGCAAGTAAGTTTTGTGTTTTTTAAAATACATTTATTTATTTATTTATTTTGGCTGCATTGGGTCTTCGTTGCTGTGCGCGGGCTTTCTCTAGTTACGGTGAGCGGTGGGGAGTGGGGCTACTCTTTGTTGTGGTGCGCGGGCTTCTCACTGAGGTGGCTTCTCTTGTTGTGGAGTATGGACTCTAGGCAGCAGGCTTCAGTAGTTGTGGCTTGGGGGCTCTAGAGTGCAGGCTCAGTAGTTGTGGCACACGGGCATGTGGGATCTTCCCAGACCAGGGCTCGAACCCATGTCCCCTTCACTGGCAGGTGGATTCTTAACAACTGCACCATCAGGGAAGTCCCTAAGTTTTAAAAAATATCTGTTATGACTTTTTATCTTTGAGCATTACTATGGAAGTATGGATTTTTATATATTCAATATGTATCAGTCAGTCACAGTAATATTCAAATTGTCCTAAAGTAAGTAAGTAAGTGAAAGCTCCTTTAAACTCATTCTTTTTTCCTTTTGAAACGTCCCATTAATCACTGAAAGCTCCCTTGCTTTCTATCATTCCAACATGTACCAGGTTAATTTTTTTTATTCCTTGCCCTAGACATGGACGCAGTCATTCCTCCAGAGAGACTTGGGAGCTTTTAGTAAGAACTGACTTCAGAGACCACAGTCTGGGCTCTAGGGGTGATAATGGCTACTGAGGTGATTGATGTTGCTTCTAGGTCCTTTCAGTGCACACAGCTAGGATATTAAGATACCGTCACAAATACACACACACACTGATATTTCCAATTAAAATTTAGCTGTGATTTTTACTGAACTCTTAATTTTCTACTTGTATCTCTTTATTACACTGAAAAATTTGGTTTCCCATAACATTAACATAATCATTTATCGGTTTAATCCTACCATAGGCATACAATAATTTACAAATGGTAATATAGATTTTACTCTACTAATAAAACAGTGAATACACTTAAGACTTTGGGTAGTTTATTTTGTCCTTATAATCCCTAGGGATATACCATCAAAATATGGTGTTCTAAAGTCATTTGAAATAATTCTTTTGTTTGTGTAGTCATTTTTACTAATCTGATATATAATTTGGTTAGTTTGTTCATTTTCAATATTAGAATTTGCTTTTATTTTTATATACTTTTATTTTAGAATATGTAAAATATTTACGCTGTTTAAAAATCAAACATATAATAAGATATACTCAGGAAAGTCTTCTCCTCACCTCCACAATTGCCCCTGCCATCTTTCTCACTTCACCCCATTTATTTCCGTTTTAAAAAATTTGTAAATTTTGAAATATAAAAAACAGAAAAATGCATAGGAGAAAAATGAACAGCTCAATAAATTATCGCAAAATGAACACCCATGTAACCCAGGTCAAGGAATTGAACATTTCCAGCACCCTAGAAGACTCATTGTGTCCCCCAACCATTTCCTCTGATGTGCTCAAGAAAACATGATTCTATAGTTAAACCAGCTATTTTCTTGTTGTCAGAATGAGAGTGTTCATCTTTTGAGTTTCCTACAACCCAGACAGAAGTGGAACTCCTTCTGTTTGAAGGATAATTTTGCTAGTTATAGAATTCTAGGATGACAGTTATTTTCTTTCAGTACATTTAAGAAGTCATTTCTCTTTCTTCTGGCTTCTATTGTTGCTGTCTTGGACTTAATTATTAGACTAAATGGTGCTCCTTTGAAAATAATCCCTTCCTCCACCACATTCACAGCTGCTTTTAAGAATTTTTCCTTTGTCTTTGTTTTCCTGCAGTTTTGTCATATTTTCTGTCTTAGTTTTAGTTTTTTAATATTTTGCTTAAGATTTGTTGGTAATCTTGAATCAGTGGATCGATACCTTTCAACAGTTTTGGAAAATTTTCAGCCACAATCTTTTAAAATATTGCTTATGTCCTATTCTCTCTCTTCTCTTTCTGGGATTTCAATTAAAATGAATAGTGGACCTCCTCACTGAATCCTCTTGATTTCTTACCCTTTTTTCTGCATTTTCCACCATTTGCCTCTTTGTATTTTTTGGAGGGAAGGGCTAAGTTTCTTGTGACATATCTTCTGGTACACCAGTTCTCTTTCAGCTGTCTCTAATCTGTTATTAAACCTATTCAATTAGTTTAAAATTTTGGTTCTTACATTTTTAAGTTTTAGAATTTCTGTTTGATTCTTTTTCTTTTCAAAGAACCAGTTTTGAGTTTTATTGATTTCTCTGTATTATTTTCCTGTTTTCAATTTTATTGATTTCTCTCTAATTTTAATTATTTGTTTTCTTCTGCTTGGTTCAAACTTAAATTGCTCTTCTTTCTCTAGTTTCCTAAAGTGTGAACTTAGTTTATTGATTTTAGATCATTCTTATTTTCTAATGTATGCATTCATTGTATAAATTTCCTTCTAAGCACTGTTTTCACTTCATGCCACAAATTGTGATAAATTATATTTTATTTTTGTTTATTTCAAAATACTTTAAAATTTCTCTTGAGATTTCTTCTTTGGCCCATGGATTGTTTAGAAAGGTGTTGTTTTCTAAATATGTGGAGATTTTCCAGCTATCTTTTTGTTATTGATTTCTAGTTTAATTCCATTGTGGTCTAAGAATGTATTCTGTATGATTTCTAGTCTTTTAAATTTGTTAAGGTGTGTTTTATGGTGGTCTATCTTGATGAATGTTCCATGTGAGCTTGAGAAGAATGTGCACTGTGCTGTTGTTGGGTGGTATATTCTAAATGTCAATTAGATCAAATAGAATGATTGTTCTGCTCAGGTCATCTGTATCTTTACTGAACTTCTGCTTGCTTGATTTATCAATTTCTGACAGAGAAGTGTTGAAGTCTCCAATTATACAAGTGAATTTTTCTGTTTTTCCTTTCAGTTCTATCAGTTTTTGCCTCATGTATTTTGACTTGTTTGATTCTTTTAAAAAATCTTCCATATTACTTTCTGTGGTTTCTAGATCCTTGTCAAAAGTTACACTTTGGCTTTGATATGCTTGAACATAGTAAAGCACAGTTGTTTTGCTTTGCAATCATTGGATCACTATGGGTCTGTTTCTGTTATCTATTGTGCAGACTATAGTATTTGAAAAATTTTTTGTAGAAATAATTTAAGGTCTTAGAGGATTTTCATTTACTTCTGCAGGTGCCTAAAAGCACTAGCAATCTGATATAACCTTAATACAATTACAAGGACATGCTGCGATCTGAGCAAGGGTAGATTGACTTCCATTTTCCCCTTATTTCTAGAGTTAGCTTCTTGGTCCCAGACCAAAACAGAGAGCAGTTTACTCGAATTCTTCCTTTCACAGGCCTGGACATTGACATCTACTACTCTAGCTGCATAGGCTGTCTAAATCAGCTTTTTGTCTGCTTCTTAAAATGGAGAATTTCCCCAGTCCAAAGCAACTGTGAGCATTGGGTTTACCACCTCTGGATTCTGCTCCTTTCCTGGATCTTGACCTGAGTCAGTTACTCCTCACTCTTTCGCTAGCTCTTTGACACTTTTTTTTTTTTTTTTTTTTTTTTTTTGCGGCACGGGGGCCTCTCACTGTTGTGGCCTCTCCCGTTGCTGAGCACAGGCTACGGACGCGCAGGCTCAGCGGCCATGGCTCACGGGCCCAGCTGCTCCGCGGCATGTGGGATCTTCCCGGACCGGGGCACGAACCCGTGTCCACTGCATCGGCAGGCAGACTCTCAACCACTGCGCCACCAGGGAAGCCCTCCTTGACGCTTTTAAGAAGATTTTGGATACTTTTCCATCTAGCTTTTAAGGTATATTAGACACCATTTATTGTCCCATTTTGCATCCTCTTGGGTTACCTTTTAATTCTAGCCATTACTGCAGCCACCAGCTAGATGCAGGTGTGATCTGATACCACCTGCCTTACCTGCACTGCAGATCTTTTGTTTTTGGCCTGGGTCCTCTCTGCTACCACAGCATTAGATATCCTTGGGACTCTGCTCAGACATTCTCATGCATGAAAAACCTGGATATATGAGGAAATTAACATCTTGTAGTGCAACCCTTTATCCAGTGGGGGATGGGCCCATAGGATAAATACTTTCCTTTTCTCTGTCTCAGAGGACAGTTCTGAGGTGCATTGTACATGATGCCTAAGAGAGTCCCCACAAGAACTTACCTCAGTTGCATATAACTCCTTAATGCACCCTTCAATAGCTTTCCAAGCCCTCTGTTTCACCCTTCCCATTCTCTCACTCCTCATCTTGAAATTTAATCCCAATCTACATGACCCCCATGCAAGCCCTTACTTCAGGCTTTGATTTTGGGAGGAATCAGACTAAGACAAGCTGTCTTCAGCAGGCAGAGATAGTATGAATTACGTAGTGCACAATTACCAGAAACAGAAGTTGAGAAAAAAAAAATTAGATCTAGGAGATATTGCAGCATACTTAATATATTGATGAAAATAATCAGGCATGCAGGGGAAAAGAAATGATGTAGGAGAGAATTGCTGTTGTGATGTCCTTGAATAGGCTTTTGACTTTAACCTTTAAGAGTACATCCAGGGACTTCCCTGGTGGCACAGTGGTTAAGAATCCACCTGCCAATTCAGGGGACACGGGTTCGATCCATGGTCCGGGAAGATCCCACATGTAGTGGAGCAACTAAGCCCGTGTGCCACAACTACTGAGCCTGTGCTCTAGAGCCCACGAGCCACAACCACTGAGCCCACATGCCACAACTACAGAAGCCTGCATGCCTAGAGCCCATGCTCCACAACAAGAGAAGCCACTGCAATGAGAAGCCTGCACACCACAATGAAGAGTAGCCCCCAGTCACCGCAACTAGAGAAAGCCCGCACACAGCAACGAAGTACCAATGCAGCCAAAAAAAAAAAAAAAAAAGAGTACATCCGTTTTCCTTCCCCAACCAACGCTCCAGATGTCCCTGCTCCATGCGCAGCATCATGATTCACTAAGGCAAAACATCTCTAACAAAAACAAAACTCACCTGTATTAGTTCCCTAGGGCTGCTGTAACAAAGTACCACAAACTGGGGAACTTAAACAATAGAAATGTATTGTCTCACAGTTCTGGAGGCTAGAAGTCTAAAATCAGTGTGTTATAAGGGTTTGTTCCTTCTTGGGCTAGAAGGAGCTGTTCCAGACCTCTCTCTTTGGCTTGTTGGTGGCCGTCTTCTCCTTGTATCTCTTCACGTCATCTCCCCTCTATGCATGTCTGTCTCCAAATTTCCCCTTTTTATAAGGATACTAGTCATACTGGATTAGGGCCCACCTGAATGACCTCATCTTAAATTGACTAATTATATCTGTTAACACTCCTATTTCCAAATAAGGTCATGTTCTGAGGTCCAGGAGATTAGGACTTCAACTTATGAATTGTGGGGGGGACAGGATTCAACCCCTAACACTTGCCAAGGCCTATTAATTCATCCTTCAAGATATCCCTCTTATATGTCCTCTTTCACTCAAGTTCAGGTCATCGTGTGGCACACTGCACTATTTCGACAGTCTTTCTAGAATGTTGCCACTTTTCTCCTACTCCCTAACGCATCCTCTACAGGAATGTGAGATTGTTCTTCCTAAGCTCAGCTTTCATTGTGTCACTCCCTCGCTCAACAGACCTTCAATGGCTTCCCATTTTCTATCAAATAATACGATCCAAATCATATACTCTGCCCCTCTATGATAAAAACTAAACTTACCTTCGTTTTAAAAATGCTCATCTTCTTCTCTCTATTTTCTGTCTTGGAAAGAAAGAGGGAATGAATGAGGGGGAAATGTGGGTGAGTAGCAGGGGTTGCCCAATTTAATGAGAACTAGGTACAAATGAATATGACTGGTCTAGTGTTGGGTTTGGGTCCATTCCTGAACACAACGAATAGAGGGGGAGAGGGCAAAAACAGCAGCATGACCAAGAATCGGGGTCATCAAGAACTAGTCACTTAATTTCTCTGGGTTGCTTAAATGGATGAGATGTGTGGCCAAGTCCCAGTTCTTTAGAGAAACTAAATTTTGATATCTGCCCACGTGCTTACACCTCTGATGTATGAGAGTGTGAGTATGAGAGTACCGTGGGAAGTAGAAAGCTTTGCAAATAGGACATTCTGGTATCTGGCTGAGCTGAGCACGAGTGATCAGATGACTCCCTCCCTTGTAAGGTTTTACGCTACCAGGAGCAAACTGGCAAGAGTCAGCAAAACATTTAATGTGTGTACACTTTGACTACAGCACTTCTATGTTGATTCTTGAGCGCACAAAGAGTGAGAGAGCCCTGGCAGGGGCTGTAATAGTGGAGGTGGGAGACCCTCATACAACAGCAGGGTCCAGGCCTGTCTGACATGGAAGGATGGGCAACTAGACCACACAGCATAGCTGGATGTGTGTAAAGAAGGCTGCCATTCCAGCTGTGGTCCCATCCTCGCTTTCCTCACTTCAGGAATGGTCACTGGAAAGAAAACAAGACAGAAGCAGCCTCCGGCAGCAGTGAGGGGCTGTGCTCTCCTCACCGCAACCCTTGTTCTGGTCCCACCTCTCTCACTTTGAAGGCTGTGGCCAGGTCCAAACCCGATCCATCCTGCCTCAGGGCAAGTCACAGAGAGTTTGCATCAAAGTCACTTTAATGATCCAGATTTCGGTCATCCTGGAACTTCCCCTCCAGAGGGCAATGGAGAGGGCACTGGGGCAAAGCAGCTTTGCACTAGGTCTCAATCAGCGACAAGGTGGTGGCCCACAGTGGGGGGCGACTCAAAGAAGCCCTAAAACCAGAAATAAAGGATTGGAACCGGTATGTGGAGAGGTGGCCCTTCCCTCACCTACTCTCCCGCAAATGCTTCAATAACACCCTGATTTGAGTCAGCTCACAGTGACTCAACCCGTCGACTGAGTGCCTGTCCCCTTTGCTCCCACACAGAATTCATAGAGTTCTCATCCGCTGATTTGCCCTTGGGCTCAGGCTGGAGAAGAACGGCAGCACCTTGTTTGCTTTCATGAAGGCGTGGCAGCAACCGGTCTCTCACAGGTGGGTCTGTCACTTAGCTCTGAGTGTGTGGACCCAGTGACCAACCTAAGCTTAGGAAGCTCAGCTGCCATCTTATGGGAGTAGGAACTGGTTTCCTAGGAGAGTGTGAGAGGCTAGAAGCCCCCAGAGGTGCAGGCTGCCCCTGGATGGAGCACATGGCTAGCTGGAGGTGCCGGCTCCGCTGCCACCACCCCAGTCCAAGCCACTTCAGTCTCCCCTGGACCAGGATGATTGGCTCTTTACAGGACTCTCTGTTTTCACTCTCGCTTTTCTCACAATCCATCCCTGATACCGTTAGAGTGAGCTTTTAAAATCATATCACATTATTACATCCCCATCCTTAAAATTTCCTAGTAAACTTGCCACTACCCTTGGAATAAAATCCAAACTTTCACCATGACCTGTGAGCCCCTGTGTGGTCGACCCCGAGCCTACATCTCCAACCTAATCTTCTACCACTGACTTTCCCTCAGTCTTGCTATGGTATCCTTCTGTCAGGGCATTTGTCATTGCGGTGCTCTCTTCCTGGGAGGCCCTTCCTTCATATCTTCCACTGGCTGCCACCTTCTTGTAATTTAGGTCTTAGTTCAGAAAAGGACTTTTGTCAATATGGAGGAGTCTGATGTTTGGGGCAGCACAACCCACACCGCAGTCCCTGAGAGGAAGGGCAGGGACTGTGTATGGGGAAAGGGCTGGGAATCAGAAGACCTGGGTCCAGTCTTAGCTCTGCCATGAACTTGCTATGCAGCCTTGAGTAAGTTGCTTGACCAGCCTGGGCCCCAATGTCTCATCTATAGATAGATGGGAGCGCTAAATGGGTGTTTTCCATCTGGATTCCGAAGAGTTCAAGCATCCTAGGTAGATAACTCCGAGCCTTGCCCAGTTGACTTACCCAGGCCACAGAGTAGAGCAAGGTGGGGAAGAGGTGAATGTGAGGGCCTCTGGGCTACGTCTCCCATTCATCCAAAGGAGCTTTGCTATCACTTGCTATATACAAGGGAGTACATGGAGGAAAGGAGAACTTTTTACTTAACATTGAAAACTCTGCAGTTTTCTATGCCTTTGGAAATTCAGTGCCTGTGAATGATCCTATAGATCATTTCACCCTTAGAGACTCCCAGCACCTGCATCACGCCCCCCAGCCTTTCATATCGATGCCCACAAGTAGTCTGAGAGAGACAGGAAAATGCAGCTTCTGTGTTCACACACCACTACCCATTTCCCTCCTTCACACCTGCCTCCCTCATTTAAACATGTCCTTGGTGATTCCAACTTCCCTAGAAAAAGTGAGCCCCTCACCTTGACAGGGTTGGTCACCTCTCGTTTCAGGGCCTTCGAAACCACTTTGGAGGTAAAGCACTGATCCCTGTTCACCTTGACCACTGGGGCCTGTGAGGAGGGAAGCCAGGAGTCAAGAAGGAGGCAGAAAAGGGTGACAGGGCCCCAGAGGGAAAGAGATGGGACCCAAAGTCAGGGCTTTAAAAGTCTTGAGAAGACACATGAGTCTCACCTTGGGGAATAGGAGTCGAAGTTTCTTCCCTTGCTTGCTCCTACAAGAGATGGGGATGAGAAATGGGACCTAGGCTTGCTAGCACCTCCCTCGTCTCCCTTTGCAGGTGTCACTAGTGGTTCATGGAACTGTTTCCTGCAGATCCCAGACAGGACTTCTGATCATTCTCAGAGTGCTCCTGGCGGCTCTTACCTGCAGTTTTAATACCCGTTCCCTCCCTTTTCTCTCTGTCCACTAGACATCATGGACTGACCATAGGCTTCACGTACCTCACCCCGGTGGTTTTGGTGGGAAAGGCTTCTTGCCTCATCCTCACACATGGATCCTGGGGGTGGAGTTTGCCAATGTGCCCCATCTTCTGTGTCATCACATCCTGGGTCATGTCATCCTTCCAGAACAAACCTGCAGGTTGAAAGGAGGTGGTGAATTAATACCTGGGATGCTCTGACTGGCCCACTCCAGAGACCAGAGTGAGGTCAACACTCCCCTTCTCCCTCAAGTAGCCAAAGGATCACAGTTTGTGGAGAGAATGAAATGAGATGGCATATAAAATTTGCTTAGTACAGTGCCTGGCATATAATAAACATTCAGTTAGGATTAGGACTATACTCTTTTTGCTGACTCATTTGATGCTATTGTGAAAATTAAATGAGATTAGGGATGTACAGAGTGCTGAGAAAACTCTAAGGCAGTGATTCCCAAACTTTAGAGTACATCAGAATCTCCTGCAAGGCTTGTTAAAACACAGATGGCTGTTCCTCCCTCCTAGAGCTTCTGATTCAGGAGGTCTGGGGTGAAGGTCATGAATTAGCATTTCCAGCAAGTCTCCTGGTGATGCTGATGCTACTGGTCTGGGGATGCACTTTGAGAACCACTATTCTAAGGCATTTTACACATATTAGACATCAGTAGTGGTAGTAGTAACATGAACTCAAGCCAGATTTCCTATCTGACTCTTCTCCCATTCATGAAACTCTGCTCCAAGGAAGGGTCAGCCATCTGTCTTCAAGGGAGTCCCCACTCCCTTTCCTTCCTCTCTTCTTTTTGTCATACAATTCGCTCTGCTTCCTACTCAGAGGCTTAGGGGTGTGTGTGTGTGTGTGTGTGTGTGTGTGTGTGTATTCTCCTGGCTGAGAACTTAAGGATTCCTGGCTCTGGAAAAACTCAGATAGTGCCTGGAGTTGGGGCTAGTCCCAAGGAGTTAGATGCTGACCTCTTCCAGGGGCTTCTTCTAGAAGCCTCTGCTGGGCCCTTCCAGGGTGTTCAAGGGCAAACAGCCTGCCCTTCTACCTCCATCCCCATTTTGGTCTCTCCCAACTCTCCATGAGGTAAGCATGACAGGAAAGTGTCAAGTAGAGACATTTGGGGCTGAAAGCCTGTTCTCAGATCAAAAAGCCCCTCACTATACCCCTGTATCTGACCAAGCCTCAGCCTCTCTTCTCCAGCTCTTACTCACCTTGGGGCATAATCTGCTGGAGTACAACTTGCAACTGCTGGAAGACTGGGGTGGTAAATCCTTGGAGGGTCCAGAGGTGCCCCACTCCCACTTGGCCCTGACCATCTAAGGGCAAAATAGTGGTGTGAGAAAGGAGCTTGACCAGAAGCCTTCCAAATCCCAGCTGAAGGAAAGCAGCTTCCTTCCACTATCACCCCTGGGTTCAGTGGTCTCTGTCCCCCTCACCAGACCCCCATCTCCTTTCAAGTCCTCCTTTTCATTTTTCCTTCCCCCGTCACCACCTGCCCTGTTCCTCAGCCCCTGCACCTCATTCACCTTTGGTACCAACTTCCAGGTAAGAGCCAAGCTCCACAGGCAGCCTGTGGAGGGTGAGGTAAGAAGAGACTCGGAAAGCTACACACATAGAATGGATAATCAGGTGAACAGGTAGGGCATGGGGAGCAGGTGAACTGCATTCAGGGAAGGCTTTGAAGCCTGGAGGGGATTGGAGAGGACGCCTGGAATCCTTCGAGGAAGAAAATATTGGTATGTATAGGGTTTGAGTGTATGGATCCTTGTCCTGAAAGCCACAGTTTGCCCGACTGTGCAAAGGGGAAGGACGGGGATGGAGATAATTCCTAATGCTATACACACTTGCCTCATTCCAGGTAAATGGGGTAGGGTTGGAGTCTGGGATGTTTGTTTGTTTGTTTGTTTTCCTATAGTGGAACTACCATGAGTCATCATGAAAAGGGAATTCTCTTCCCCAGTCAAATGGATCCTAATATCATTTTCCTGGCTTTAGGAAGGAGCAGAACCTAATATTGAGAAGGAAAATAGCTTCTGGAAGGAGAGAGCTTCTCTGAGGCAGCGCTTCCAGAACTGATAGAAAAGTGGTGACCCAGACACCCTCAGCCAGACCCACAGGGCACCTGGCGCTGTCCGTGGTGCTGAGCGGTGGCCAAAGCCTGGCATGGAGGCGGCTCTGGGCAGTAAAGAGAGCGAGTCGTCCCCACAAGTCTTGCCGGTCCTCTCCCGCCCCACGCGTCCCGCTCCCCGCCCCCAGGTCTCCTCCTACAGTTTTTCGCGAGTCCTCTGCATTGGCCTCTAAACCCAAGAATCGGGCGAGGAGAGTTGGCATCAGGCTAGGAGTCTGCGCCGTCTGCCCCAAGCGCAGGGCGCTGGAATCCTCGAGTCTGCGCAGTCGGTCTCTGGCTGCTGACACGTGTCAGCGATGGTCTACCCGGTTGGCGCAGAGTGAAGGGGAAGGAAGAGGATGGATCCTTTCCCCCTCCATCCTTTTTTACCCCATCCTAGCCTTCCCGTTCTTACCGGAAATTGGATCGCAAACACCAGGCTCTAGGGGCTTATAAAGAAGGCTTGGGTCATCCCTGGCCTAGCCTTCTCTCCGGAGCCCGATACCCGCGGCCCCTGCTCCTACTGTGCAGAGATCCTGGTCCCCTGACTATCCCTCAGCCATGGGCATCTCTTCCCTGGCCCCTCAGCGCGGGCCGCCCAGGCCGGTTCTACTTCCCGCTGGCCCCGTGTGTTTCAGTCCTTCTCCCGAATCCCCAATCTTCCCGAGTTCGCTTCTCTTAAGTCCGCACCCCATACACCGAGCCCCACGCCAGGGCTGCGCCTCTTTCTGCGCATTTTTCTCTTCTCACCCCCCAAACAGATTCCTTTCCTCCTAAGTTCCTAACCTTGAGGCCCCCGGACCCACTTCTCTCAGAATCGCTCTCTGGCCCTGCCCGCACGCCCCAGGTGTCCTCCTGACCGTGATCACTAACGTCGCGGCCGCTCCCTGGGCGGCTCTTCAGCAGCAGGAAGCAGAGGAGCCGCCAGAGCCCCCGGAAGCCCCCAGGCCACAGCGGGCGCCGCATCCTCCCGGGCTTGGTGCGCTGGCTCCCCACCAAATCGCAGATGAGGTAGAGACAGCTGCTGGAGGGACTGAGCGGGGCTGTCCCTTCCCACCCGCTGGCGAGACTGGATCTGCACAAAGCTCCCTTGGCAGCGGGACCAATGGCCGGCGGGCCCTGCCCCCTGCGGACGCCTACCCAACCCTTACTTCCCTACCTCCCCACAGGCCACCCCACCTTACTCCCAGGAGCCCACTCCTTTTTTACATAAACCAGGTCCCGAGGACTACCGCCTCTACTCCCAATCCCAAGGCTGGAAAAACGGATTGCATGTAAAATGTGGGTGCGAATTGTACCTGCCTCATAGGTTTGTTGCGAGGATTAAATATGAACAGCGACTGGATAGTCGGCACTCAATGAATCTAGTCTATTTTTATTATCCTGCTGCTTACTTCACCCTTACCCGCCTTAAAACCTTCAGCAGTCACGGGTTTGACCTGCTGAGTACATGCACATCCATGACTCCTCCACATCCACTGCCATCGCCCAGGTTCAAATCACTGTATTCTTTCTTTCTTTCTTTCTTTCTTTCTTTCTTTCTTTCTTTCTTTCTTTTTTTTTTTTTTTTTGCGGTACGCGCGCCTCTCACTGTTGTGGCTTCTCCCTTTGCGGAGCACAGGCTCCGGACGCGCAGGCTCAGCGGCCATGGCTCACGGGTCCAGCCACTCCGCGGCATGTGGGATCTTCCCGGACGGTGTCCTCCCGTGTCCCCTGCATCGGCAGGCGGACTCTCAACCACCGCACCACCAGGGAAGCCCTACCAAGGCCTTTTAATTTTGGGAGTCCTGAACCCCAAACTTGGTGTCCCAAACACTGTGGAAGCTACAAAAAAAATCCCTGTTCAGATATTTGACTTTTCCACTAGGTTCCTTAAAATCTCGCCCTGCACTTGTGCCATTTAGAAGGTATCTAAGGATGTGAGGGGAATTAGCATGTGGATTTTGGGTTCCCCTCTCTGTAGCTCACTCATTTCCCAGAGTTCTTGCTCAATTTCTACCTGCTCTGGCATTCCTGTACTCCAACCACTACTTCCTTGGCCATTCAGACTCTGCCTTTCATGCCTATTTCCCCATGTGCTACAGGAAACTGTGAAGTGTCATTAGGGGAAAAGCCTGTTAAATGTGGAACTCATTGGTTGCGGGGGGAGGTTTTCCCTTTTTTCAAGGATTATATTCCCTCTAGTTTTTCTTGCTTGGCTGGTCTCCATGTTTTCATACAATCACTTTTATATTTTGTCTAGAGTAGATACGTTCAATGTTAATGGGAGGGTCTGACACAAGCTATTTTATCATGCCAGGAACTGGTTGTCAATGATTTGTGTTGTACATAATATTCAAAAATTGTTTACAGAAATAATTTAGGCCTAGGAGCAAATGAGTGTGAGCCTGCTTTGAGAAGTACAATGCTACAAGAAAAAGGGACGTATTGGTCTTTGGGTGGCTTGAACAGAGGTGGGTGTGCTTCTTTCTCCCTTTTAAGATTTCAGACTACCAGAGAAATAGCTATCAAAATGATCAATTGTATGTGCATCGATACTGCACCTCTTTTCCCTATTCATTGGAGGGGACCCTAATGTTGAGAGTAATATCCTCAGAAGACCAAGCAGTTTATCAGGGCTATTGGACTTGGAGTTCAAGGGGAGGAATTTCCTTTCCCAAGGGAAAAAAGACCACCATAAAGTGTGGCAGGTGGTGGGGGGAGGGGAAGCGGATGAGGAAAACTGACACTTCAGCTGTGGTCCTACCCTGCCCTGCATTCATGTCATGAATGATGTCTGGAAAGAGAAAGGGATCAGAAACCAGGCTTCCAGCTGCATTACATCCCCACCCCAAATGTCCTCTCTGTTCTGATCCTATATATTTTACTGCAGAGGCTCTGCCTGGAGCCCACCTGTCCTACCACCGGACAAGCCCACAGAAAGGGTTTTGACAAAAACCTGCTTAATAAATTCAGAAGCAGGTTGTCCAAGAACTGCTCTTGTAGATGGCATTGCGGGGGGTGGAGGATAGGAATGTTTCAACCAGCTGCAAATTTTGCTCAGAGAAGAAAACAGTTCAAAGAAGCCCTAACATGGTAGGAAACAAGGGATTTTGAATTTGTGTATATATGTGCTAGATTATTCCCCCTCTAAAATGTAAACTCCCCCTCCCCCAATAAGTAACAGGCTCTAATAACAGCCTTGATCTGGGCAAGTCCTGAGGCACAGTGACTTAGCAACTGCCCCACAGCTGGCCTCACCTTGGCTCCTGTGTTTGATCTTCTCTCCAGCCCCTGATTTTCCCTTAGATTTAGAGCCAGTCAAGGACCTTAACCTGGAGAAGAATGGCAGATTCTTGTCTGCAGACTTTACACCATGGTAACCAGTTCTTATCGTGGGGCTCTGTCACTCAGTGCTGATGTGTCACCCTAGCAACTGATCTGGGCAAAGGAAGCACAGTTGCCATGGTGAGAGGAGTCGGAAGCTGTTCCCTCGGTGAGTATGCAGGTCTGGATTCTCCTTGAACCTCAAGCTCCTCTGGGTAGAGTTCTTGGCCAGCTGGAGGTGCTCAGCCCTCTGCAGTTGCTCAGCCGAAGCCACCACAGTGTCCCTTGGACCAAAACAATACTTCCTAACAGATCTCTCTGTTCCACTCTTGCCCTCTATCAGTACATTCTCTGACAGTGCTAAGGTGGTCTTTTAAATTTTTAAATCATCATTCTATTCATTTCTTTAAAATCCCTGGTGATTTTCTTCTGCCCTTTGTGTAAGAACTAGTACTCTATAGTATTACCTGCAAGGTCCCATATGGTCAGTTCTGGGCCTACTTCTCCAACCGCATTTCCTACCACTAGCTGTTCTGTTTATTTTTCTTATGTGCTATTTAAAACTACAAAATACAATAGCCAAGATAAAAACTCACTGGATAGGCTCACTAACAGAATAAGAATGACAGAGGAAAGTGTTAGTTAAGTTGAAGATGGATCAATATAAATGATCCAATCAGCACAACAGAGAGATAACATTGGGGAAGAAAATTAGCAGAGCCTCAGGGACCTGTGGGACAATACCCAGAGTTCAACATTCATGTCATTGGAGTCCCTGAAGGAGAGGAGAAAAAGGGTAGTACATAAAAAATTATTTGAAGAAATCATGGCTGAAAACTTCCCACATTTGTCAAAAGCCATACACCTACAGATTCAACAAGTTCAGTGAACTCCAAACGGGATAAACCTGAAGAAATCCATGTCCTGATACATCATAATCAAACTTCTAAAAACTAAAAGCAAAGAAAAAAATCTTGAAAACAGTCTGAAAGAAAAACAGCACATCACTTAAAGGAGAACAATAATCCAGATGACTGTGTATATTTCATTATAAATGATGGGAGCCGGAAGTGTAATAACATTTTTTAAGTGGTGAAGAAAGGAACTGTCAACCCAGGATTCTATATCCAGTAAAATGCACTTCAGGAATGAAAGTGAAATAAAGAAAAACTAATTAATTGTCAGCAGACCTGCTCTTCAAGAATTGCTAAAGGAAGTCCTTTGGATAGAAGGGAAATTATATCTGAAGGAAACCTGAAACAAGGAATAAGGGAGAGCAATAGAAATGGGAAATATCTGGGTAAATATTACAGACTATTCTTTCCCTCTTGAATCATTTAAAATATGTATGATGGGGCTTTCCTGGTGGCGCAGTGGTTGAGAGTCCGCCTGCTGATGCAGGGGACGTGGGTTCGTGCCCCGGTCCAGGAAGATCCCACATGCTGTGGAGCGGCTGGGCCCGTGAGCCATGGCCGCTGAGCCTGCGCGTCTGGAGCCTGTGCTCCGCAACGGGAGAGACCACAACAGTGAGAGGCACGCATACCACAAAATAAATAAATAAATAAAATAAAATATGTATGATGGTTGAAAGCAAAAATTATAACATTGTCTGATAGAGGTTTCAATGTATGTAGGTGTAATTGATTCTAATTGACCACTACAACAGAAATGGGGGAGAGTAATGGGACCTGTATGCTGGTGAGATTTCTACATTCCACCTGAGATGGTAAAACAGTGATTATAAGTAGACTGTGAAAAGTCAAGCATGTATACTCTGATCCTTAGAGCAGCCACTTAAAAAACCATAGGGGGCTTCCCTGGTGGCGCAGTGGTTGAGAGTCCGCCTGCCGATGCAGGGGACACGGGTTTGTGCCCCGGTCCGGGAAGATCCCACATGCTGTGGAGCGGCTGGGTCAGTGAGCCATGGCCGCTGAGCCTGCACGTCCGGAGCCTGTGCTCCGCAATGGGAGAGGCCACAACAGTGAGAGCCCGGCGTACCGGAAAAAAAAAAAAAAAAAAAAAATTATAAAAAAAACCCCATAGGAATATAGTAAAAAACACAATTGATACACTAAACTAGAATACTAAAAACTGTTTCAATAATCCAAAATAAGGAAGAAAAGGGGAAGCACATAATTATGGAGGTTGAGAAGTCCCGTGATCCGCCATCTGCAAGTAGAGAACCAGGCAAGCTGGTGGTATAATTCAGTCTGGGTCCGAAGCCCCAAGAACCAGAAGCACTGATATCCAACCAAACTCAGAAGATGGATATCTCAGCTCAAGCAGAGATAGCAAATCTTTAATGTCTTTTTTTTTTTTTTTGCTGCACAACGTGAGGCATGCGGAACTTCACCAACCAGGGATCGAACCTGCACCCCCTGCAGTGGAAGCACAGAGTCTTAACCACTGGACCACCAGGGAAGTCCACAGAGACAGCGAATTTGTCCTTCGTCCACCTTTTTATTCTGTTCAGGCCCTCAATGGATTGGATGATGTCTACCTGCATTGGTGATCTTCTTTACTCAATCTACTGATTTCAAAGGCTAACCTTTTCCAGAGACACCTTCACAGGCACACTCAAGAATAACGTTTTCCTAGCTATCTGGGCATCCCTTCGTGCAGTCAAATTAACACAGAAAATTAACCATCACAGTGAGCAACTGGGAGTGAATCCTGCTGGGGAGCCCTGAGGGTCTGTGTAGAACTTAGATTGACCCTCACCAAGGGAAGGATATGCTGAAACTTTTACCCACTAAACTAAGTCCTTAATTGGTTGAGGGCAGCCTCTGAGGGTGTTAAATCCCAGATAGTTCAAGGCTGTCTTGAGCA